CTTTTGCTCTCATTTAGAATAAACCTTGAAAGTTAGGTCTGTTGTGTGTGTGATGATCCAGTGGGAGCAGCTCTGGGCTGGGACGCTCCTGGCCTGTGTCGCTTCTCTGTGCCTGGACTATGAAGGCAGCCTCCTGCTTGTTCCTGCCGCTATAACTCCCCTTAGTGATTCATTCTAACTGACACCAAAGGGGCTTTTGAAATTGACAGGCTGGCAGGTGTCGCCAGATCACCATCCCAGTTGCAAACCCCCCATTGGCTGCTTCTTGGGATTAATAATGAGAGCAGTAATAACATTAATGATTGGGAGCCAATGCTAACTGGATTTACTCTGTGCTAGGCTCTATGTGATGGAGTGTACATTTTCTTTTAATCTTAAAAATAACTCTCTGAAAGTTCATGATTGTGGGAACTGAAGCCCAAAGACATCAAATGACTTATCCAAGATCATATGGCTAGTGTGTGATGGAGCTAAGACGCAATCTCACATCTGTCTGACTTCAGTTGATACTCTCAGCCATGATACTACCCTGCCTTTTCTTCTCAGTGAAAGACAGGCTCCTTGGCCAGTCTTTCCTCAAATGGAAACCTTTCATTTGTTCTCACAAATCTCTTGTTACTCTTTAATATGCACCCTCTTCCCCAGCTCAGTTTTCTCTTTGTTTTGTTTTTTTTTAAGTCATATTCCATCTTTCAGTTCATTGGTTTTTCCATTTCTCCCAACTTTTCCACTTTGGCTCTTTTCACCTTTATGTACTGTACCCATTCTTGTCATCCTTAGTCATTCAGTGAACAGGTCATTATTATTAAGCACCTGCTAATTGGTTATTATCCCTGTCTTCCATAAACTCATTGACTAGTGGGGGCATCAAATATAGGGTGGGGCGGGGGCCGTTCCAGAATAGAAGTAGCTGAAAAGATGAAAATGTTCCTATTCCAGTGCCTAATGCTTCAGAAACTATCAGTGAAGACTCAAAGTCCTCATCACTTCATTAGATCTCCTACCTTCAGGGGTGAATAATCTTACTTCTCTCCAGTAATTTATAAGCTTTTTGAGCATAAAATAAAACCTTATGTTTCTTTTGTATCACTTTGCCTTAGGAAACCCACTTACAAGTTTTAAGTGCTACCTACCTTTGCTAGAGAATTTCTTGGTGGCATGTCTGTGTTAAGTAACATGAATGTCTCTATCTGGAAATACACTTTCCAATATATTGAAGGTTATTGTGCTGAAGGATACAGGCACTAGAGTAGAAACCAGGAATTTGAGGATCAAGACTAAGAGCCTCTGATGGACGTGTGCCATCTGATAAATATCCTCTCTCAGGATAGCAGTGACAATTTTTGCCTTTTGGGCTTCACAGAACTATTGTCTTAAGCTAATTAGGTAAGTGACATCAAAGGCTTTAGAAAGTATATTCTCTACCAGTGAGTCTTAAAATGTGGTCTGAGGACCCCTACGGGCTCCCTGTTTCAGAGTTCAACCAGAGATACCAAACCAATAGGTGCTACATATTAAGCGATTTACTGCAAGGAGTTGGCGTACATGATTGTTGGACCGGCTGGGCAAGAGTGACATCCATCGCGTAGGCCGCTGGGCAGGCCAGGCTGGAATTCTAAAGCAGGAGCTGAAACTGCTATCTCAGATGAAATTCCTTCTTCTTCTTCCCGGAAGAATGTAGCTCTGTTTCCAAGGCCTTTCAACTGATCGCATCAGGCCCTGTTTAAGGTGGACTGAGTATGGACTTCAGTCACACCTACAGAATACCTTCATGGCAACACCCAGCCTAGGCTGCATAACTGGGGGCTGCAGCACAGAACTTACTTGGTGGCAAAGGACCGAGTAGTCACCATCAGGAACACGAGCCGCTGCTTTTCAGCTGAGCCTGTCCCCCCCTCTCAGTACTGTTCAGTATGAAGCCTTTGCACCGTTATTCGGTCTCTGCTTTCTAAAACTACTTCAGAAATCAAAGTCATTGATGAAGGCCCAGACTGAGACTTCACACTCCTTCAAACTGCTCATCCTAAGAAGTTTGTTCTGCCACTATGCAGAGAAAGAGCAAAGCTTAGGTTTGGGGAGAGGTAGACAAGACTCACCCAACTCCCCTCATTGACTCCATGAGTCAGTCTTATGATGATCATCTTAACCCGTTACCTCAGGAGTTCAGGAAGCACCTAAGGCAGGATTTCTCAATCTCAGCACTGTTGATATTTTGGGCCAGGTAATTCTTTGTCATGGGAGGATGTCCTGTGCAGCTGCAGGATGCTTGTCAGCATCCCTGGGCTCCACCCACTAGATGCCAGTAGCATCCTCATCACAGTGTGACAGTCACAGGTGTCTCCAGATACTGCCAAAAGTCCTCAGGGAAGGGGTGGGGGGAGTAATCATCCCTTGTTGAGAACCACTGATTTAGGGGTGCTCGTGCATGGCCCTTGAAGGGTCTCTTACGTCTTTTTAGGCTGCTTACACTGAATTCTTCATGGGAGCGTTCTGGTAAATGAAACGTGTTTCATCATGTTACATCTCCGGAGACGCTTGTTGCCCTGGGCAACCGCCCCGCTGTCCACCCCCTTGCCTCAGTCCTGAAGGGACTAGTTGTGTGGCTAATCTCTTCTATTACCAGTTCCTCATGGTTTTATTATTGCTCAGTGCCTTCTTCCAGCCCTTGTTCATTAATCCCACCCTAGTACTGTAGCTGGGTAACGAGCTAAAAGGCCTCGAGTTGCTTTCTAGTCCAAGTTCTTAAAACATTATGTTGCTTTTTCAGTGAAGATTAATCTAGACCCTTGCCTTTCTCCTGATTAAAATTAAGACGGATAAGCACTGACTTATCAAAGTGACCACAAGAAGATTCTTTCCCCACAACTTCCTCTATTTCAGTCTATCTGAAGGATTTTATTACCCTGTCTTTTATGTGAATAATTATGTCAATCTACTAAAGTTGTTGAGAAATTAAATGAGTCACATTATGTAGAGTGCTTAACCCAGTGCTTGGCACAGCGTAACCACTCAAAAGTAATTATAACAATTATCACCAGTAAAATTTGCACAGCCTAGAGGAGATCATTGGCCTTAAGCTTATGAACTTAATCCTGATTGTATGATGCGGGTGGGTGGGAGATGTTGGGGGCAGAAGTCTCTGTCAGCAATTATTTCTTTAATTGGCCATTTCGGGGAGCAAGGATGTAAAGACTAACCCCAACAAACTGTCTAAAAATCACGTGTGCAGAGAAGGATGCAGCCAAGGTGGAAAGCAAATACACACAAAATGAGTAATCCACTTAAGTGCAGAAAAGCTGACTGCAGAAAAGGTGAACTGCAGAAAGCACTGTGATGTGTGATCTTTTAAGTAGAAGGATTAGGGAATTCTAGCAGCCAGACAGGAAACATGGCCCCTCTAACAAAAAGTGTACATAGTGTTTGCTGTCTAGTACTTGCTGTTAGGGTTCTAATTAGCCAGGCAGCAGTATTTAATTCCAGTGTCACGATACAAATAACGTGCCACATGCTTGTTAGTATTTACAGTTTCTAAGCAGCTTGGAAGATGGGCTTATGCTCTGAGGACTCTGCATCCATCAGTCAGCATGATATTCCAAGAAATACTCTGGACTCTCTTGTCCCCAGATTGCATGTGCCTCTCTCTTTATTGGGGAAGTGGGGAGGGAAAGAGCCCTGGTTCTAGGAGTGAGGAGATGTGGTTTGGGGTTTCATCTCTGCCACCAACTTCCTGTGTGGCCTTGAGCGGATTTACTAATTGCTCTCGGCTTCAGTGTCCTTCCCCACAGCACTAGGAAGCTGGGCTAAACAACCTCCAGTTCTGATGGAGATTAACCACATCTGTGACTCTAGGTCACACTAGTGCCGTGGGACTCTGAGAAAAGAGAGGGAAAGAAACAAGGGCTTGCAGAGCATTCTTGTCTTTAGCAGATGGGAAACTGTGAAATGCCAAGTGCCTCTGGAAAAAACTCTAGCCTGTCCAAATTGTTAGACAAATTTTATGTTCTTAAAACCTCCTGGCTTGTACCTTACAGTTACAGCTATTCATGTGTTAGGGGTTGTGAATGTTTCATCCCTTCTAAAATGTTCATATCCATATTTCTTCTTAGTAGTCTGATGGGATCCAATGGTGCATGTAAGTTCACGGTTAACATAGTAACCAACTAAGATCACACGGAAAGATTTTCATGAAGCTAAATATTATGTTCATTTCTTTTCACCTCCTTTTTATTCCTAACCTTGTCAGTATTCCCCTGTTTTTAATCCTCAAATAGACTTGTTACTTGTTTTACCTTCTCTTTTATTTGTTTATCGCCAATAACTATCCATCAATATAGCAACTTGTTCATAACATTTACCTTTATTAGCCAAGTAACTGGCAACTCAGTTTAAAACAAAAATACACATGGAAGTTTCCTTTTAAGGGTATAAATCAAAGTTCTCGATAAGCTCATGAACAGTTCTGATATTCTGTATGTCTGAAGTATTTACATAATCCATAAGTACGATATATTGCTCCCACTTCCCTTACTTTGTATAATCAAAATGTAATCGATAAGGACCAAGACTCCAGCAAAATGGGACTTCTGAAGCTTTGAGGGCAAATTCATCACCAGCAGGCACATTAAAAGTCACTGCAGAGAGTCTTTGCTTTCTTAAGTGCCCTTGAAAAACCCAGCAACTGAATTATGCTCCAGGCCCCCAAGGAGTGCTACAAGGTTATAATTGTCTCACTTAATTACATGCACATCGAAAGGTAAATGGACAGAGTTCTTTTTTTTTTTTGTACCACGTACAGAGAATAGAATCACTTGTGAAGTTTGATCTTGCCGGCTCACGGAGTCCCAGAGAGTAGAAATGTAGGCGAGGACCATGTCGCACAGCGATGGAGCTGTGAACACACACAGCCGGGCCGAGGACACTGCCGGCACTGTTCTGCCCCGAGCCCCGCACCCACACTCGGGCCATTCTTCCCCTTCTGGCGGGGCCCTGGTGATGCAGCTTATTGGTCCTTTCTCCTTCATCGGTCACGGTCGTTTCTGTCCTGGCCATCTTCTTCTCTGAGTTCCCAAGGGACTGAGCGGAAGGCCTCGCGTTGACTCCATCAGATAGAATCAGAGAAATGAAAAAAGCCATAGGAAAGAGAAGTGGGCTTTCAACCAAGCTGTGCACGGGAGACAGTGCCTCTTTTGAGCCCTGTCTTCCGTAGTTTCTAATGGAGCCCGGCCGGGAGAGACGTCAGCTTTGCAAGTAAGTAAAAGCATCTCGGCCCTTCGCATGGATTAGGGGAAATCACTGCCTCCTTTGGTCACGGATTCTTCGTTTTGAATCAGGCCCGGCGTAGAACTAGTTTTCTTTGTACCGCATGTGAAGTTTCATGTGGCTTGCTGAGGGTGAGACTCACATTTCTTTGTAACAGAATGTTATGTTTTCCTTTGATTTCATTAGGATGAGCCTGTGGCAACTGCTGCTTCCTCCTGCAATGGAGTTTGCAATTTGAATGGACCTTAATATGTGTTATGATAGATAATCTGTCCTGCCTTCATCCGTTGCAGCCTGAGGAGGCAGATGGAGCTAGTGTCTTGTTTCTCAAAGCAGAGGAAGACTACAGCTTGAAGGAAGAAAGCGAGATCATTGTAAGGCTTTCCAATTTCATCTTGACAAACTCCAGTGCTGGCTTGTGGCAGTGGTTTTCAACTCTAGGTGGGAACTGTTGGTTTTCCTTTGAGTTCCAAGGAGAAAATCGATGCTTAAAGAAAAATATGTTTGCTCCCTGAAATACTAACTACTTCCAGAAAAAAAAATCCTCATGCATACAAGTATTTCTACGGTGACTACCTTTAGTAAAAGCCTGCCCTGGTGTGCTGTTAGGGCTGGGGTAATATCTCCAAGCACAAGGTGAAAAGTAAACCTTGTTTTCATTGCTCTGGGCAGTGAGCTGTGGAGCCTGCAGGAGTTCATATACCTGCTGGAACCCATTTGCCCTCTGAATTTGCTGCTCAATTCTGGTGGAGGTAGCCAGAGGAGAATCCAAAATTCTGGGGGAGGAACTTGACCACCAGGGCCACTCTGGCACCCTCCTCCCTTCTTCTCCAACCATCCTTTCTCTGTTTCCAGATCTTGCAGACAGACAGTCAAGAGCGCTAGGAGTGTTGCTCCGTTAGCAGATGCACTGTTACGTTGAGCCATTAATCAGGCAAATTGCAGGTGGTGCTTTCTTTTCAGATGTTACTATAATTACTCCTCAAACACCCACTGAATTTGTCATTTCCTTGCCATCGATGGCTTTTAAAAAATTTATCAGGTAACTTCTTAAATTCTATCTGTATGGATTTAAGTTGTATTTCTACCTTGGAGGGTTCAGGTTCCTCCAGTTGTTACCACCTATTTTCCCAAGAGTATAATGGGGTGACTTCACATATAGGTGGATTAATAGGCTCTGGAAAGACTGAAGGTTGAAACCCACTGCTGGGTTTGCAAGCAGACCATACTCAGCCTTATGCTGAAAGATGGGCGTTATCATTTGAGGCATATGGTGCTAATAAATCCAGTGGAAGGAGTCTGCCATTCTCAAAGGCAGAGCTAGGAAAGGAACTTGAGCCAGCTGCCTGGTTTACAGATGGTGAGACTGGGACTCAGAGAAATAAGTCTGAGTTACTGAGGGAAAACAACAGCCAGAATCCAAGACTCGTGGCTCTGGATCCAGGCTTGGTTTTTCTACCATCCTCGTTCTCCAGATGGCCCTTGGCATACCAGAAGGGGATAAAAAAAATTCTCCTTCTTGACTTGAGTAAAGGAAGACAGGTTGGATTTCGACCCTTCTCTGCCCACTTAATTACTTCCCTAAAAGTAAAACTTAGCTAGACTTTTTAAAATCCTGGTTTGAGCCTAGGGAACTCTGTCTTGCTTACTAATTAAATATTACTGATTTCTCCCTTTCCAGTGACTTTCTTTGAAAATTTTCTTTCAAAAGTTGCAAGCATCTGCAGCCCCTTCTCCTTCTCATGTTTTAGTTTTCTACAGAATACAGTTTTATTAAGAGATTGAGTAAATAAGGTAGTAACAGTAGTAGTGAAGTGACTTAGTTGGGGGGGGGAGACATTGAAATTGAACTTAGAAGTGATCACTGTTCTACTCTGTGACCTTAGGCAAGTACTTAGCCTCTCAAACCCTCACATTGTGAGTGTGTGTGTGTGTGTGTGTGTAGAATGCAATAGCTGGCTCACAAAAGGCATTTTATAATTGTTGGTCATTACTATTAACTGGAACCAAAGAGAGGGAATATTAACTCATGGCATTCATTAATGTTACATAATATCTTAATGTGTGGAAAAAAGGAGAATCTTATTTTCTCCTTTTGGTATTAATGATCACTGGCTGCTGTTAATGCAAAGAGCCTTGCAGACAGTAAGCCGCCTAGAAACAACCTGAATTACTGGGCCTGGAGGAAGTACTCAAATCCCCCAAAGTGACTAATGGCTACTTGGTGTGGTATTTGTATCAATTTGAACTCACTAGACTGAAGAAACAGCATAGAGCATAAGAATACATTGTCTCTGCCACATCTGCCCGTTTCAGTAAGTGCACCAGATCCCCAGAACCACTGTCAAACTTGATGGTGAAATTTTCACACACACGCCACCATCTATCCTCTACCTCCACCTCCCCAAGTGCAACCCAGAGCAGTGATTCTCAAAATGCTGTTCCTGGCCAGATAGTTTCAGCATTACTCAGGAATTTGTTGGAAGTGCAAATTTGCAGGCTCCACTCCAGACATGCTGAGTCACACACTTGGAAAGACTCAGATACGTGTTTCTCACAAGCCTCCAGGTAAATCCAGTGCCGACTAGAGTTAGAGAACCAGGACCTGGAGAAGCTGCCAGGTGATTTAGGTCCACCAGTATTTCTCAAAATGAGGAGTAGGGACCGGGACAACACTTACAATGATCTCAGATACGATAATGACGACTTTAGGTGACACCCTGATGTGGCATCGTACCACTGGATCACACAGTGAAAGTTTACTGTCTTGACCCTTAGATCTCAGTTTGATGTTTATCTCTAACCACTGCTAATCTCCTTTTTCAACAGAGAGTAGGATGCAAACCTGGTGAAGGGAGCAGCAGTGTCTAGCTAAAATTTAGTGGTATTTTTGGTTTGTTTGACCTTCTACTTAGGGCACATTAAATTTGTTTTACATTTAAGTGGTGATAAAGAGTTTCCTTTATAAATCTTTTGTCAATTTAAAGAAAAGGTGAAGAAAACAATAATACAGTTGGTATGTGGAGGTAGTAAAGAAAAGGGATGTGGGGGGTGAGCGCATTCAGAGAAACACTGATATACCAGAAGGAACCCAGTTACACCCGCACTTTAATTCCATTTGTGGCAATTATTAGCTATACTACTTTCTTGGTCTCAGTTTTTTCATCTAATGAGAATGACACTGACATCATAGAAATAGTATGAAAATTTACATACATAAAGTGTGTGCTGCAATCCTCAGAAGATGGTACCTACTTATTTCATACTTATTCCCTCAAGCTTTTTTTAGAAGCCAGTTTGCTGTGTGGCCTTCAGAAGATAATTTTTTCTAGGTTTCAGTGTCCTCATTTAGAAGCCAACAAAATGAGATTTGATCTCAAAGGCCCCTTCCAGCTCTTAGCTAATAAGTATGTACATGAACTTTGTATATATGTGTATACATATATAATAAATGCTGGATTCCTTGCCTTTATATAGGCATGGTGTAGACATAGCAGCTGTATTTCCCAGCCATAAACCTTGAGTGCTTGGAAATAATATTTAAAGTGGATGAGCCATGTTGGGGGGGAAAAATCAAGTCGTGAAGAACATGTACACTGATGTATATTTCAGAGCTCGGAGGTAATTTTGTTGTATCTTACTATCAACTGTCAAAGGTAAAGCAATACTGAGGCGAGAAAATAGATTGTCACAGAGGTTCCTGAGGACAGGGGTTTCCATGAGTTGGTGTAAATATATTCAGAGAGACTTGTTCCTGCTTAATAACCCGCATTTTTCCTTCTGAATTGCTGATATGTTCGCTTATAGCATTTGAAAGGCAGCTTGTCCTTTGCTGTCAGGTGAACTTGATAGAATAATAGAAAATCCTGAAAAATTCAATCAGATCTTGTTGCTTCTCAAGGGAATTTCTTGACTACTTATTCTGTTGAAGAGGAAAAAGAGCCAACAGGGTTTCTTTGGGCTTGTGCAAAATGCTGACCAAGTTTAACAGTTCAGGTACGAGTCAGCAGGTGCCACGTGTGGAGTTCTGACTTCTCAGCATCCACGGGATGGCGCTGCTAGGATCTGGAGACCCTTTGGGAAGGTGAAAGAAATACCAAGGTGTTACTACAGAATTGCGCAGAAGTGGTCACCATAAGCTTGTTTATTGCTTATAGCTCTCTTGTCAATCAGGAGACCAAAAATCAAGAAAAAAAATTGTGAAATTAATTTCTTTTAATCAGAGTACGAAATAGCTTGCACTGCCTTCCAGGTAACTATTAAAAAGTCCCAGAAGCTTAATCTGTTCAGATATTGGTAATTCTGATGAAACACTCCGGTGAGGCTATTCAACTTGATTCAGCCGTCACTTAATTGAAAATTACTATGTAATTTTACTATGTAAAATTGCCATGTAATAATATTACCAAGACACAGGGCATGTGCTTGAACTCAAACAGACAAAGGCTCAAGTTCCTGTCTTCTCTTAAAGCTCTGGTCTCCTCATCTATAAACTGAGGATAAAATGTTCCTACTTCATAAGATTGTTCTGAAAATTAATCAAGAAAATGATGGAAATAATCAGAATAGCCAATATTCACTAAGCACCTCCTTCCATCCAGGTGCTTTTCCAAGGGCTAGGATTGCTTAAGCCTGGATGAATATCTGAAGTGGGTACAGTTATTAGCTGCAGGTTAGGGAGGTACGAACAGACCCCAGAGAGAATTTAACTAACTTGCCAAACATTATGCAGTCTGGCACCAGATGCCCCCTCTTTTAAGGCATAAAAACTCTTGGTATTTTTCTCAGCACTTCATAAGAGATGAGTCACGTGCAATTACAGACACTGGGCCATTTTTACCTATATAAATAGTAATTTGTGTGATTCCACTTCATAAGCCTTGAATATGGATTAACAGTAGCTACAGTTGCTACTGCCAATAATAATAGCAATAATAATACTGATTTTTATCTTTGAATCTTGTTAACATAAGGAATGTGGGTGGCATTTTATACACACACACACACACACACACACACACACACATATACACATACACACGCACAGCTTGGCAATAAGGAACTGGTAAACTCTTGGTCTCAGTTTCCACATTTATAAAATAATGGAGTTGGTCTTTTCCAGCTCCAGTAGTCAAAAGACAGAGCTTTAAAAGCTGTTTGTGGAAAAAGACCATCTTTTTGTCCAATCCATCTTCAACCAATAACTATTAATACTATGAATGTCTAGCACATAGTTCATTCATACATAAGGCAAGTTTACTAATCACACGTTCAAGTATCTTAGTAGGGTTAAATTGATGTACCCTTTTCTAGACACATATTCTAAATTTTTATACTTCCTGTAAATCTTAATTTGTATACTTCCTGTAAATTTTTATACTTCCTGTATACTATCACTGTAAACCAGTGATAAACAGTTCTTGGACTTGCACTGGCTCATG